TGATTGTAGGAGGGGAAATTGGGAGGAAAAAATAAAAGGGAGGGGAAGAGGCCCAACGTGAATTCACCATAGTGTTTCAGTTATATATATCTTCAGTGGCGGAGCCAGCATTTCAAACCACCCCGTCATCTTTTCACAATATAAATATATAAATATTTAATTAAATATTAATTTAATAAAAATAATTATAATTAATTATATATGCATAATTCATTTCATAGATTAAAAAATAACCGACTATACAATCATTGTCTTTAACAACCACGGAGAGATCTCATATTATGAAAGAAACGCAAAAACATTCGTCGTCTACACTATTAAATAAGTCTTTTTCAATGTATCTCACTAAATTAGCATTAGCAATTTGGTCGCCAAATCGACTTGAAAACTTGTTCTTAATATAACTAGAAGCTGAAAAAATGCTCTTTTTACACTTGCAATTAAGGGTGGCTATACGGTCCGGTCCGGTTAAATTGGACCAAATTGATTTGATCCCAGTCCGGTCTTTTCGGGAATATAAGGACCAAAGATTGGATTGGATACAATCCAGTCTTGATCCGGTCCGGTCTTGACCCGGTCCGGTCCCAACTTGATCTTGATTTTATATTGAGCTTGTGGGGATTTGAATGTTGGGGTCTCTTATCAGGTCTTATCCGGGTTTTTTTTACCTCAAATCTAAGCCCGAATATGAGATTGGATTGTTTGCTATCCGGTCCCGGTCCTGGTTATACAGTCGGGTTTCGGGTAAAACCAAATAGTCCGGACCAAATAGCCAGCCCTATCTGCAATTGTAATTCGTAGAATCAAAACTAGCGGAATTGTCGTTGTCGCTAGTCAATTTAAGGGTTGTTGAAAAAAAATCGAATAGGCATAAGGAGAAAAAAGATCCGATTAGGTCTTTATTGCAATTAGTATTCGTTTATAGTATAATAAATTAATTTGATGTCAATTTATGAATAAGTAATGAGTTGTGCTGTATTGAATAAGTAATACTACCTATAGGCGTTGTTTTGCATCACAATATACAAATATACATATATGACATATTTTTGTTCTAGCGTTGTACCGGGACAAGGCCCAATGGGCCTACCTCCGCCTATGTATATCTTCATTCTAATTTCTAAGGTTGGAGTTCGGTTAATTAGGGCAAGTCAGCATGTTAATGTAGTTTGATTTCTACTTTATTCGATACCGCTTTTTTTTAGTTTTAGAGTGTTCTTGTTGATTTATACGCGTTACAAAAATTCATCTAGTATGCATGCCTTTTAGGGATGGTAACTTTGCTCATACCCATGAGTTTTTTACTATTCAACCCAATTGGGTTGGGTATGAAATCCAAATAGATGGATATGGGTAGAGTTTGATGGGTTTGTACCCATACCCATTTACTTTGAGTTGAGTTGGGTTTATATCAAATGGATTTGGGTTTGTACCCATGCCCAAATATAAATTACAGTTTGGTACCCAAACTTAATAGACATGCATATTTAGTACCTAAATTTAATTTTTTTCATATAAGTCCTCAAAATATCGATGGAAAATTACGTTTTGGTACCTAAATTTTTTTGGTCTTACATTTTGGTACCTAAACTTTTCAAGTTTTGCAAATAGGTCCAATTTTGCATGTGTAGTTAAATCACCCTAAAGTAAATGGATATCCATATCCAACCCATACCCATTTAGATTATGGAATCTCCAAACCCAAACCCATCTATAAACCCCCAAATCCATATGCACTTCACCCATACCCAACCCATTATCAATGGGTCTACTTGGGTTTGGGTATAATTACCCATGGGTGGATAATTTGCCATCCCTAATGCCTTTATAGTTTATATATGTTGAGATCATGCTATGTTTGATTTAGTTATTTATGGGAATTACCGGTGTTTAATTGCTGAGGCGTCTGGCGGATCAAGATAATTGCTGAGGTGAGGACACGAAGTTCGTGGTCCTTGTCTTGAGGGGAGGATTGTTATGGGACAATCGGAATACCACATCGGTAATACAAGGGAAGGGACCGTTGTATATTAGAGTCCACCTAGCCCAATTAGTACGAGGCCTTTTGGGGAGGACACCCAAGAGTAAAACCGTGCGGGCTTGGCCCAAAGCGGACAATATCGTACTAATTGAGCAGGCCCTGTTCTGACAGTAACTTTTGGAACTTTGACAGAAGCAGATTCCGGATGGAGCTTTTAGAGAAGTACTTTTCAAAAAAATAAATAAAATAAAATAAAAAACAGTTGAGTGTTTGGTTGAAAAAATATTAGAAGTACTTTTTAATATGAGAGGTTGTGTAAAATGACTATAAAGAACTTATAATATAAACTATGAATAAAAATTCTAAACAATAAAAAGTAGTTAAAATGGATCTTGTTAGATTTCTTTTATATTAAATAATATGATTTTATATTATATTTTATTTTAAAATGATATAAATGAAAAAATTTATATTTTCTGAAAAAAATTAAAATATGGTAAGGATAATATTGTATTTTCAAAACAGTTTTTTGTAGAAATTTCAAATCGGAACTTCTGCTTTTATGTTATACAAAAAACGCTTTTTGACTTTTTAAAAACCGAACTTTTATAAATGTTTGATCCTGCTTCAACTTTTGAAACCGAAAAATACTTCTAAAAGGGCACAAAGCCAAATTTAGGAACTTTTCTGCTCATCCGGGCATCAAAAGCCCAGTCCAAAACTTTATCTTAGGGCTTAAGCCCGTCAGTAGGGATGGCAAAAATATCCGTAACCGTGGATATTCGCCCGAATCCGACCTTGTTGGGTAGGGTAAAATCCGAACCCGAACGACTTTTAGCGGGTACGGGTAAAACCCGAACTCGAATATTGTGGGTAATGGGTGGGCATGGTTTTCTCACTATCCAACCCGAACCCGCCCGATATACACATGCATATACATTTTTTCTAGAAAAAATCATCATTTTTTTCTAACATATTTTATATTTAGCATATAAATATAATTTTATTTTCATGAAATTGTGTTGTTTTAATAAATTTTCTGCATTCTAGTGAATTTTGGTCATACGCAATGCGAGAATACATGTAAATATTAACATATTGGTTGGAGTTATAAGGAGAAACTATTATCCATGGATAACCGTGGATACCCGAAACCCGAACGGGTATGGGTATGGTTTTGATTTTCTATCCGTTTTTTATGTGGGTATGGGTATGGGTAAAACCCGAACTAATTTGGGTAGGATAACGGATATGCACTATCCGCCCCGACCCGACCCATTGCCATCCCTACCCGTCAGGAGTGCCTACAGGCTACAACCCAGCAGAGGCTGGACAAGCTAGCCTAATTAGCTTGACTTGATTATCTGAACTCTGAAGTATATGCATTTGGAGACTTGGGTTATAAGCTGTAAGCCTGTAACCAAAACTAAAAATGTTGTTGCTTCTCCAAAACCAATACCCCCATTGAATTTCCATCCTTGTCCAGTAGCCGTCGGTTTCTTAATGATAAATATTATTAATCTTAATGACTATTTACTATTTTTTTTGATAGATAATGACTATTTACTATTTAGATATATAGACTGACAAAATAGCTCTCTAGCTTTTAGGTCGGCTAGTCTTAATAAGTTCTCAATAGTACTAACCTTAATATGTTACTGTAGGGCCTAGTTTCCCCAATCATGGCATTCTGCAATATCTTAATGCAAGCTCAATGCTGATTATTTGAACCATAAAGCTCTACGGCAAGCTAGCCACAATCACAATTTTTATCCTCAATCGAGTCATTGCAATTTTGGTATAATACGTTTCACCATTTTTTATGATTTATCATAAGACAACGTGATATAATTTTTCATCCATCGCCCTTTGAAGTATTTTCTTCTACGATCATTTTAATTGTGTAGTTTAGTAACTGATTTAGAATTGGGTTCACACTTAAAGCATATGAAATATCAGAAAGATAACTAAAAAAAATCAATTCAGTTTTGATTCAATACATTTGTTTCTCTGTATTTAAGGAATTCAACTAAATAAAAAGAAGAATTTCTTCAATTTTAAGAATTGAAACAAAATCAAAATCAAAATTCAATATGAGGTCATTGAAATCAAACATCCAAATCAATTATTCAATTAGTGTAATGAAATCACTGTCCACCCCTTTAGAACTGAGGATCTAGAATATGAGCAAAATTGTAAGCTAACTTTTGTAGTAACGGGCTTCATGAATTTCTATGTGAGATTTGGTTGTTAAATCCAATGTACGAAGGAAATGTCCAAAGTCATTGTTTGTTATGCAAAAATGATGGTTAGCAAATCTGTGGGCTTATCAATTTTGGAAATTTTTTTATTCCAAAATTAAGAATCTCACGAACTTTTTAATCCCACAATTTATTTGGGATTTGAAGGAGGGAGCAAATCTTTCAAGAGAAATAACCTATATATAATCTTATAAGTTTATTGACCCAACTTTATCCTTATTAGTTGTTTTTTGCCCTATAACACAATTGCTTCTTATAGCTACAATTATAGTCACGAAAAATAATATTGTAGCTAATAACTACATAGACAATTCTTGTAGCTATTTGGGAAGGACTTTGTCACAATTTATTTAGCCATAAGTCCATAACATTTTTTTTGCTTCAAATATTAAATAGGATGACAAATAGTATTCTTTAGCCACACCCACATTTCTAGCTACATTATTAAATCATTGTAGATGATTTTGTCTTTAGATACGAACCACATTTATTGTGTCAACACTCAACGATAAATCTAACAAACAAATTTTAGCTTATAATTATAAATTGTTATTAGCTCCACATTTTAAAAGTCCTCGTGGCTAATAATTTTATGGACATGCTACAAGATGTCAATCTCAAATCACAAATTAGCAACATGACCACAACAAAGTATGAAACTGGAGTCTAAACTAGCATTACAAGGAATTCAATGAAACAGAGCAAAGCCGCGGCAGATTGCTTTCTATATAACCAGTGTAATGTTCACCACAAAATCTCAAGCTTCATTTCTCTGTTCGACCATTGATCCATTATGATGAAGACCACTACTACCGCCACCATCACCACCACCGTCTTCCTGTTTCTCCTCTGTTTCTGTGCAGCTCCTTGCAAAACAGAGCACTGCGCCGGCGGGAACCATAGCGTGAAGATCAAAAGCCTTTTCCAGTTCGGAGACTCCTTCGCCGACACCGGAAACGCCCTCCACCTCTACCCCAACTCCTGGGTTGGGAAGCCCCCCAACGGCATCACCATCGGGAAGCCCACCGGCCGTTTCTCCGACGGGCTCGTCATCTTCGACTACATCGGTAAATAAATTTCGCTCATCTACAAGAAAACTAGTCCGTCACTAGTAAATTTAGTTTTAACTGTAACCAATTATAATTCGTAAATCATGATGCCAGCCAAAGCGTTGGGCCTCGACTCTCCTACTCCTTATTTGGACATCACGGGGAAAAGTACTCGTAGCAATGGAGCTAATTTCGCCGTCGGCGGTGTGACCGCTCTCTCCGGCGACACCTTGATGAAGCGTTGGAACATCTCCTTGCCATTCGCCAATTCCACCCTCGACGTCCAGCTCCAATGGTTCCGTCGCTACTTACTGAGAACTTGCCGTCGTCGGAATAATAACAAAAGTGAGTTTCACCCTTTTTTCCTCCCCAATGCAGAGAGGTGTTTGCTTAATTAAGCGCTGATCATCATCAATTCCCAGGTTGTGTTTCCGATCTGCTCGAATCATCTCTGATGTCGATCGAGATCGGAGGCAATGACTACACACTCTTGCTGCTCAAGGACGAACAGGACATTCTTGCTCACAAGAAGAACAGAACTTTCATCTCTGGGCCCATCGAAGAAGCCAAGAAATCGATGTTGCCACTAGTGATTCACAAGATAACAAGCGCCCTCAAGGTACTTTAACATGATCATTATAATTCACAAAATGTAATCTGCTTGATCGAGTGGGTTTTGAATGCAGAGGATGATGAGTGATGGAGCGACCCAAGTCTTCGTCCACGGACTGTACCCTTACGGATGCACACCCGGGTACCTCACGCGCTTCCCTGCAGTCTTCCACAATCTGACGGTGGATAAATTAGGGTGCATCAAGGAGGCGAACGACTTCGTCAAGTACCACAACCACCATCTTCGACAAGGTTTGCTCGAATTGCAGGAGCAGAATCGCGAGGTCAACATAATCTATGTCGACATTTACAAGATCATGCGCTCCCTGCTCACTCATGCTTCTTCTCTCGGTTAGTTATGAAGTCAATTTTATCTTTGTTTCTATATTGCTCGTTATCAAATCCATTGTTGTTGATTAATTTGTTAAACTTGGTTTTTTTTTTTTGCTATATGATTAGGGTTTGCCAAAACTAACGTAACTTGCTGTGGAGCTGGTGGGAAATACAACTACGTTTATACTGTATTCTGTGGAGACTACAGAAGCGGGGTCAGGCCATGTAAGCAGCCGGGGAAGTATGTGTTCTGGGACGAGTTTCATCTATCGCAAGCTGCTTCACAGCAAATTGCCAAGAGAATGATACCAAAGATTCTGAAAAAACCCTACCCTGTAGTCTGCCCTAGAGCTTTAAGCTATGGATAGCTTGCTGGCTCGCTCGTAGTCGTATTAATGGTAGCTACTATTAAGTGCCATAATTAGTAATCAATGATCTTGGTTTAATTTCATCGCTTGGCAGTTCATTAAGAAAGCTGTGTGGTTGTATATGGATGTAGATATAATGAAAATGGGGATGAAGTAGATTGATTATATATATGATTGGTATCGTTTATATCTTTTCATTAATGGATCGATCACGTGAATGGTTGGAGTCTTGAGAGCTTTTTTTTAGAGAAAACTGATGGGGATTCATTGAACTCAAGAATTAATCAGTCTCAACGGCTACAACATCATCTATCAGAATAGGTAAGCTATTACAATCAAAACGAGACTCCTCAGAATCAGAGACTATATGGGCTAACAAATGAGCAACATTGTTTGACTCTCTAAACACAAAAGCCCAGTCACGAACATCAATCCCCTCCGCTTCCTTCAGGATATCCGAACAAATGCTCCCCAATTAAGTTCTGCAAGTTCTGTGAAATTTCAGAAGCTTAATAATTTTTTTACAATCAGATTCAATAACAACCGGTCCAAAACCTTTCTCTTTAACCAACCTAATCCCATAAAGAATGGCCATACCTTCAGCAAGCTCGGGAGACCACTTAACTTTGAGTCTTCTACTAGCCGCAATGACACCTTTGCCATTCCAATCTCTTAGGATATATCCCAGTCCCACTTCACCTCTGCTGCTCACCCCAACATCTGTATTTAATTTGAAAACTCCCATAGAAGACTTTGTCCATTTTCGTTCCTCCCTATGTCTGGTTAGAGCAAGGTTCTGATCCTTTCCCCGAACCTCCAGGAAGCAATGGATAAACTCGTCAGCCCGGGGGAAAACTTGCCAACCCTCCATTACCTTCTTGCTGAACATGAAATTGTTTCTCTCCTTCCAAAAGAACCATAATAAAGAACACACCTGGGCCACCTTCTTCTCAGAATGGTCTTTAACAAGAGAAAGCCATTTTTTGCAGGTAAGGCTTTCAACCTTGTAGAAGACTTCCGCCAGCGGGGTTCTGCTCCATATCCTAGTGTTCTAGCTGCAATCCACTAGACAATGTTTAAGGGTCTCCTTGAGACCACAGTTTGGGCATTCATCACCCAGCCTTTTAACTTTCTTGCTAATTTTGACACCTAGGGATGGCAATGGGTCGGGTCGGGGGTGGATAGTGCATATCCGTTACCCTACCCAATGTAGTTCGGGTTTTACCCATACCCGTACCCACACGAGAAACGGGTAGAAAATCAAAACCATGCCCATACCCGTTCGGGTTTCGGGTATCCACGGTTATCCATGGGTAATAATTTCTCCTTATAATTCCAACCAATATGCTAACATTCACACGTATATTCACATTACGTAAGAGGAAAAGTACGACAATAATTCACTAGAATGACGAAAATTAATTAAAACAACATAATTCCATGAAAATATTATATTTATATGCTAAATATAAAATATTCTAGGGAAAAATAATGATTATTTATAGACAAAATACATATGCATGTGTATAATCGGGCGGGTTCGGGTTGGATAGTGAGATAACCATGCCTACCCATTACCCGGAATATTCGGGTTCGGGTTTTACCCGTACCCACAAAAAATATTTCTGGTTCGGGTTTTACCCACCCGATTAGGTCAGATTCGGGTGGATATCCACGGTTACGGATATTTTTGCCATCCCTATTGACACCCACTGGTAAGATGTTATGAGCTGCTTTCCAAACAAAGGTTTTGAGTTTTTCCGGCATATTCACCCTCCAGATCTTTCTCCAACAGAATTCGTCTTTACTTCTGTCCATTTGACCAACAGCCTCCTCCTCTCTTCTTTGCTCAAAGAAATACCCTGATTTAACACTATATTTACCATCTTCCGCTTCTGTCCAACACACTACATCTTTTTCATATGTGGAAGGGATATGAATGGCCATGATAGCCTGTCTTTCCTCCGGAGTAAAAATGATTTCCAGCAGGTCTTGCCTCCAAGTACTTGACTCATGGTCAATAAGGTTTGAGACTCCAGCATCCCATTCCAAGAACGGGCAGTAGGAGTAAACGTCAAAGTTTTCCAGATTTGGCACCCATTTGTCCCCCCAGATTCTAACATCCTCACCAGAGCCAATTCTCCATCTACAGTCAGCTTTGAGAAGATCTTGAGCTCATAGCAAGCTCCTCCAAATATAGCTCGGACGCCAACCAACTTTGCTTCCATGATAGAGGTTCTTGGGTGGTATTTTGCTTTGATTAACCTCCCTGCCGTAATCCTCTCCCTGGCTTGAAGAAATGAGATTTGTGACCATTCACCAGTACTGCATAAAAAACAGAGGAAACACAAGACATAATCAACTTGACCCATTTTCTCATCGAAAACCAATCTTCTCGTTATTTTATCAAGAAATTTCCATTCCACTCGATCATAGGCTTTCGCCATGTCGAGCTTTAAAGCCAAGTAACCCCTTTCATCTTTAGTCTTCTTCTTCATGGTAAAGAAATACTCGAAGGCTGCAATCACGTTGTCGGTAATTGTTCTCCCAGGGAAAACACACTCTGGGATTCACAAATCAGATCGTCCAAAACCCCTTTCAGACGATTAGCAATAGTTTTTGACAGGATTTTATAGAGCACCGTGCAGAGGCTTATTGGTCTATACTCTTTGGGGGAGACATGATTCTTTACCTTAGGTATTAAGGCAATCAGAGTCTTGTTGAGGCTCTTAGGCATGCAGCCGTCATTGAGGAAGCTGGTTAGCTCTGCAGTAATTTTTGGGGCTAGGACACTCCAATTCTTTTGGAAGAACAGAGGTGGGAAGCCATCATCTCCCGGAGCTTTGGTGGAGCCCATATGGAAAAGAGCTGTCTGAATTTCTTCCGCGGTGAAAGGTCTTAGGAGCTTTTGATTAATATCATTGGTAACTTTCCTCTCAACTGCTTCAATAATCTTCCAGTTGACTAATTCTGTTTTGCTTTCAAAAAGGTCTCCGTAGCAAGAAGTGATACAGTTAGTGACTTTTTCTTGCCCTCTAAACAGCCTTCCACTATCATCTTTAAGCTTTCTGATAGTATTCTTTCTTCTCCTTTCGGTTGCCCTCGCATGAAAAGCCTTGGTATTCTTCTCTTTTTCTCGTAACCAATCCATTCTTGATCTTTGCTTTCACCTTTGCTCATTCTTGTATAACAGATCTTGTAACTCAATCTCCAGATTTCTTTTCCTGTCTCCAATTGGGATTTCTTCTTTGAGTCTTCAACTCCTAAATATTCCTTCAAATCTGGGCAATTCTTTTAGGTACCTCACCAAACTTCTCCGAGCTCCAGTTCGTCAGCCTCATCTCACACTTTTTCAGACTTTCTTCAAAACTATCTACCCCAGCTTGCTCCCAGGCTTCGCTCACGATGGTGTGGCTTTCCTCCTCTTTTGCCCAAAAAGACTCGAATATGAAATTTCTCCCCCATCTAGTCTTGATTTCTCTCTCGCCCTCCAAGTCGATCAAAATTGGGAGGTGATTTGAAGCCACTTCTTCCAGATGTATCACAAGGGCCTTCGGATACATGTCCATCCATTTCTTATTTGCCACGGCCCGGTCCAATCGTTCTTCAATAAAAGCCTGCAAATCCCTTCTATTTTCCCAAGTAAATGGGTATCCAACGAAGCCCAAATCGATGAGACCACCATAACAAGGGCATTGTTAAAACCAATTAACCTTTGTTCCGAAACAAGTCTTCCTCCCGCCTTTTCAGCATTAGAGCATATTTGGTTAAAATCCCCCGCACAAATCCAGACGTCATCGTTGATTGAGCGAAGATCCCTAATGAGATCCCAAGTGAGATGATGGTTTTCTTTTTCAGGCCAACCATAAATTTCCGTAAACCTTCATTTCTTGTTCCCCTCCTCAACTTGGACTTCCGCATCCATGTAATTCTTTGTGCTAGATAGAACTTTTATCTTGACTTCTTTTTTCCAAAGTAAGCATAATCCACCCGCCTGTCCCTCCACTGGAACTCCTTCCACGTAGTCAAAACTCAGATCAAATTTTATTGCCTCCCAATCTTTCTCTAAAAGCTTTGTTTCCATCAAGAACACAATTTGGGGTTTATGAAATCGGATAACCGAATTCAGAGATGCCACTGCCCGGGGATTCCCCAATCCTTGACAGTTGAGGCGTAGGAGATTCATTGCGATAGGAGGTCATGCTGCTCGGCAGGGTCCGCCTCTGGTACAAAGGTGGTTTTGGTTGCAATCCCTTTATTCCTCTTTCCATCCTTCCATCCTGCTTTCTCATCTATCTCTTCAGTATCTATATCCATGTCTTCTTCGTCTCTACAAATGAGTTGTAGTCTAAAAAATTTTATTTTTATTGATAATAATAGTATCCTAGGTTTGAATTACTCAAACTACAACTTAATTCCCATAAACCAACTAAAAGATGCGAGTAGGATAATCATTTTTTCAAATTTTAGGGATGTCCCCGACTATCAAGTATAATTTTTTTGTCCATACGTAATTTATCACCGGGGTTGAATAATCGTTTTCCTAAAATTTAGGAGAGTCCCAATGACCTGAACGTCTGCCCTAAATGTACTAGCTCAGCGTGAAATCTGGCGCAAAATGGTACATATAGGAATTCAACAACACAATTTGGAAGCCTTCCAATCTTTGCATAAGTTACCAACAGGAATGCGTTAACCTGGTTACACTTTTTTAAGTAACTAGCGGGGATACATCTTTTTTTGCCATACAGATTATGTGAATCCAATCTAAGAGCCCATCTTGTTGAAGGGTATTTTTGGAAGGGACCCACACGATGATTTGACGTCATTATTGGGACTCGAAAGCAGTGAGATTCCCCTTTTTCACGCTTCCCTTTCTTTCTACTTTTTTCCTTATCAGCGCCTCTCCCAACAACCTTTTCTGTTTTTGTAGAAGCTTCTTCAGCGGGAGACCTTTGCTATTCCCGTCGCCGCGTTCTCTCTCCGTCGCTACAGTCTTTCTTTCGTCGTTCTCTGGCACCGCAATCTTTCTCTCCGGTCACCGCAATCATTTTATCCGGGCCGGCGAGGGTTATCGA